GGGATCCTTGGTCTTGCACCGCGGGGGGCACAGAGAGAGAGAGCCATAGAGAAGAGAGGCATTGGCCGTAGGGGATCCCAGCCTGGCACCACGGGGGTTGGACTGAGTGTGTGGAAGCTTCTCCTGGCATTGCAGGGGGACAGGGACAGATGAACATTGTAGGTGATTTCAGCTTGATAACATAAAGGGAAAAGTGTTGGAGTGTCTATTCCTGAGAAGGAGCAGAACTGCTTTCTTGGCACTGCAGAAGCAAGAGAACAGACTCTTCTTGGCCTCCTGAGCTTGGAGCAGGGAGCCTGGACTTCCAGACCCCTTCCCAACCCATTTTCAGGTGGCACATAATGCCGAGCTGGCCAGGCATTCATAAGCTCTTGCTCCTCAGTCCTAGTCACTGTCTGAAATCTGCTTGACTGCCTGTCTTCTCTAACGTCTAGCTGGACACAGGAGCTGGGCAGAGCTCTCTTTGTCCAGATAGAACAGCATCTGGAGGCAACATGATCCCCTTCCCTGCTTTCCTGAGCGATTCTGAGATTCGGTTGCAGCAGCAGGCCCTGGCATTCTGCCCTACCTGCCTGTTCATTGCCTCCTTTTTGCGCTCTTCCTTCTCAACAGTATCCACACCGGGGACCGACCCTACAAATGCGCTCACCCTGGGTGTGAAAAGGCTTTCACCCAGCTTTCCAACCTGCAGGTAAGGGGCTGGGCTTGTCCTGCTCACCAGTGCAGGTGGCAAGGACAGCTGTCAAGTGGTAGGGGAGGCTACTCACCTGTGGTAGAGTGGATGGAGAAATTGGGGCAGCTGAGAGGACAATGTAAGAATACAGAAAAGCTGTTGAAGCCCTAGGCAGGGGAGAGATTGCTGGCTTTTGTAGCACTCATGACCCAAAGAAGTCACGTAAACAATCACATCTTGTGAAATTATAAACTTGACTTGAAAGCAGTGAGACTTTGGTAAAGTTCCTCCTATCTGTTCTGCAGAATTTTCTAACTTAGCTGGGGCAAGACTTTTGCTAAATGTCATACTGAATAAAATCTGGGTATCTCATTGGGTTTTCTGTTTTACGATGAAACGGAGAGCATTCAGGGATTTAGGGAAGCAGAGGTGGTGTGTGTCTTGTTGCAGTATCCTGGAGGAGGGGAACTGTAGTGTGTGCCAAATGGCACAGAGCTGTAAACTGCCTGTGAGCAGTTAAAGCAGATCCTGCCCTGAAGGGCAGTGACAGATGCTGGGAGCAAATGTATAGTGAGGCAGAAGAGGAGGGAAAAGGAAAAGGCTGAGAGTTGTGTGGAGGGCCTGAGAAGATGCGGGGTGTGGAGAGTTGGGAGACTCTGCTCTTCAAATGCCTAATATGCCTGAGAAAAAAGGGCATCTGTGGGGAAGATGCAGTGGGCTGGAGGGAAAAGCTCTGTCTCCTGCAGTAGGAGGTGGACCTAGGGAGCTTGGGGCCTGGCTGGAAGAGGGTAATGGAGGTAAAGCCTTCTCCAGTACTAATACTTGCTTCCTCCCCTGTGCTTGCTTTCTCTTCCCTCCACCCTGCTGCTGCCCCCCAGTCCCACAGACGGCAGCACAACAAAGACAAACCTTTCAAGTGCCACAACTGCCACCGTGCATACACGGATGCTGCCTCGTTGGAGGTACACCTGGCTACGCACACGGTGAAACACGCCAAGGTCTACACCTGCTCCATCTGCAGTCGGGCCTACACCTCGGTGAGTGTTTGCTGCTCTGGGGAGTAGCAGGAGTTGGACGTACCCTCTCCAGATCCAAAGGGAGCAGCCGCCTGGGCTGTCGTGTGCCTTCCCGTTGGGTTTGGCAAACGTCCTCCCCCCTGTGACAGCCATTCTTCCCATTGCAGGAGACGTACCTGATGAAGCACATGCGGAAACACAACATCCCTGACCCACAGCAGCAGGTGGTTCAGGCACAAGCCCAGGCCTCTCAGCAGCAGCAGCACTTCCAGCCACAGGGCGGGGGGGCAGCAGGGGGCCCTTCTGGAGACACTAACCAACCCAACCCTCCCCCCCAGTGCTCCTTTGACCTGACTCCTTACAAGACTTCAGAGCATCACAAGGACATCTGCCTCACTGTCAGCACCAGCGCCATCCAAGTGGAGCACCTCTCCAGCTCCTAGAGAGACCTCAACCCAGGGAGCAGAAAGCCTCTTGTGCATAGCCTGCGCCCAGGGGCACCGCTTGTGCAGCGGCCCTCCTCGTGCAACAGTCTCCGGCCTCTCCTCCTGCAACAGCCTTTTCTGGCCGTGTAACCCTGTTCATGGCACCCCCTTGAACAACAGCCTGTCTCAAGGGGGTGCTCCTTCTGTGCAACAGCCTGCCCGGTAGGAGGATGCTTCCTTGTGCAAGAGCCCCTTTCCTGTGCTGGGATCACTTCCTCATGCAAAAGCCCCTCCTTTCAAACCCAAAGAAAGGCCCCTGTTTTGCCTTCTCTCTCACTGTAGGATGTGTATGAAAGGGAGGTGCGTGTTGAGACATGCATGGTGAATGGGATGGAGAGAGGGTCCTTGTATGTACAGGGGCTCGGACACATGTTTTCAGCAGGCCACAGAAGAATGTGGCAGGGTTCATAGCTGGATGAGGTTCTTTGAGGATTTCCTTGAGTGTCTAAGAGAGAAATATCCATTCCTGTCCCTCCTGCTTGTGAAAGGGAGGAGGGGTTGCTCGTCCTGCCCCAAGGACTGGATGGGAGAAACCTTCTCCCCAGAGGAAGGTGAGACCAGTGTGGGGGGAGAGGTGAGGCATGTTCTCTGGGCTGGACCGTGCCTACACTGCCCAAGGGCTGTGGAGTATTGCACTCTTTCTCCTCCCCTGGTGGAGAGCAATAGAGAGGAGTCTGTCTGAACTGGCTGCTGCCTCTCTCTCCCAGCTGTCCGAGCAGCATGGTGGCCAAGGCCCCGTAGGAATGTGGATTCCTGCTCATTGCTCTTCCTGCCCGTTGTGGATGATGTCCTAGCAGCTTGTACTCCTCCTCCTCTCCCTCCTGCCTGCTTCCCCACACCCCACCTCAGAAAAGCCTGCAGGCATCAACAACAAACCAAAAAGCAACTGGAGGGAGGGTAAGAGACTGCCAAAATAATCATCACCCTTCTCTCTACTCCCTTTCCTGAAAGGCAGAACGATAGCAGTTCTGACTTTCATACCCCTGTCCTGGCCCCAGTTCCCAAAGGGAAGGTGGAGGAGGAGGAATAGCCCAGTCTTTTCAAGGAGCCAGCAGGAGGCAGGGAAAGGCTAGCTTCTCCTGCTCACCTCCCAGCGGAGCACTCTCCCAGGCTCCCTCTTGCCAAGACGGGCTGGACTCACATGGCAGTGGTGGCCTCTTCTGGACCCTGGTCATGGGACAGAATCCCCAAAAGGTGGACAGTGGAGAGAAGGGGATGAAGATCCCCACAGAGAGACCAATCTAATGAGAAGGGGGAGCCAACAAGAATAAACTGAAGGCCCCTTGAATTTATATATATATATAT